GAGAGAGAGAGAGAGAGAGAGAGAGAGAGAGAGAGAGAGAGAGAGAGCATAAGGGAAAAGAATAACCATTACACAAAGAAATGATTGATCTAACTAAAATTATAGTTATTTTTAGCTCTAACCGTATTTTCCGTATTTTCCGTAGAATAAAGGCAATGCATATAACATGCATATAAGGTTATTATTGCTAACATTATAATAGAATTTAACAAAAAAAAATAGTTTTCTTGACTATACTTTACAATAATTATTTCTTTATGTGATTACAAGTACCGAATATTTTTTTCTGAGTGTAGGGATTGTGAGATCGCGCGGTGAATTTGCGTAAAAACGTGAAAGCTCGGGAGAAACGGCGAAGCGAAAATTGCCGCGAGGACAAACGCGGATGATACCCTTCGTTGTCGCGAAGGAAGGAACGTTGCTTGGAATTTCTTTCTTCTGTAAACCTCGTTACACTTATTATCGCTCTCGTTTCGTCGAGACGTCCCTTAACGCGAAGGAAAACGCGGAGACGCGGTGTCCTTCTCGTTAGCTATTTTTATTAGCCGTTTAACGACGATGCGACAAGTTGGTCGCGGCGAGGTTATTTCAATTTCTACTCGGCGCATTTTCGCGTCCGACGCGCCGTGTTTATTCGCGCGCGCAAACACGCAAGCCAAATTATTATGAAAATGTAGCATCTACGCGAGCATGAAACTTACGGTAATAAAGTTAACAGGTGTCACATCACGGGATCCAATATTTCGCCTAGATACTATTTAATTAGAACGCGCGCGGTAATGAGACCGAGAATGCCTGTTTTATCATTCGCGCAAGTCGGTTTCATAGCTTGAAATATTCCGTTACGCATACATATGTTTTCTCCTTGTGCCTCTTTTTTTCTTATAGTTAATTAGTGCAGAATGTCGCTCTATTCCTTAGCCATAAAATTCTATAATTTTTTTTAGCGTACGATACGAAATATTTTAAATATCTTTATTGGAAATTACTTACGACAAACCAATTACGCCTATTAAAAATTTTTTTCTTATTGTGTCTGCATTATATAACTTTTTTAAGTATTGAAGCAATAGAAAAAGAAAAATAGGTAAAGGACCAGGAAGAGAGAGAGAGAAAGAGAGAGAGAGAGAGAGAGAGAGAGAGAGAGAGGGAAATATTTAAATAAATATTACATTTATATGTTATAACATTCTGAAGGCCGCGATACGTGACAATATTTTTTTTCTGATACATAAAAAGAGATAAATGTAAACATAAAAATATATGTTTACACGCGACAAACAACGCGTACCTCGCCCAATATTTTTCGATTCTTTATCGAGGTTCACGTATTCTCGATCGAGGATAAAACATTTATATTGTTTCTGCGCTTCGGTTTCGATACTTCTTATCGTAGCGAGTATATCATGATAATGTACACAAACCTCCGTAGATATCTAAATAACAAAATACGGAGACTCGACTACGCGTGTAATAGTCTCGTTCACAAAATGATAATAGAATGATGATAATAGAAAATAATGATAATAGAAATGATGATAATAGAAATGATGATAATAGAAAATGTAAATTAGGCAAGACCATTATCTGGTTCTTATTGACCGGTTAGTATTCTTTTAAATTTTTTAGTAATAGAGTCGAAAACAGGAATTCCTTGTAGTGAACCTACAAAGAGCGTTATTATTATCTCTCTCGTGCGAGCTAATTATGGCAGCAATCTGGAGAACGTTGCGAAATTAGCGCGCGGACAGAATTGATTGTAACACGTCGCACAGGCGCGAGTCATCGCACGTAGAAAGAAA